ACACACACACACACACACACACACACACACACACACACACACACACAAGTGCACACACACACACACATGCAACAGATTCCATGACCCCTCTCCCGTCCTCTTCCTTCATGGACGCACACACACACATCAGTAGCCTCTTTTGCTCCTCTTTTTTTTAAATTCATTATATGCTGGTAATCGGGCCCAGCGTCCCTCACATCATGGACGTCTGTAGGCTGAGTATGGAACACCGGCCAAGCTGGACATATGTGAGAGTGATTGTGATCGCCAGATCAAAGAAATAGTCTCCAATCTCCAGTATACACAGAGTCAGAATATCCCAACTCAAAAGAGACACAATGGGACTCAAAGCCACACATGTACTCAAGAGTTGAACAATATCAACTCAAAAATGAAACAGGGTAATCACTATGAGGTATGGGCCTCTTTCACCACTTCAAAATACTAGAGTTTCTAGTGCACACTAAACGAGGAATTGTGATTAATTAAATTAATTTACACTCACTCGATTTATGGTTCCATGTGCACTTGAGGAAACCCTTGAACAGGCCGTCACCAATACACTCATACTTGGAAAGTCTTAACTCTAAAGAATCAGGAATAGCCACAATATCACCAGGTATGGCCCCTTACTCACATAAATTTGTCAAAAAAAAAAAAAAAAAGGGGCTGGCGGAGTGGGGGGTTTATTATGCCTGTGGAGTGGGGAGTAATTTTGTCCAGCTGAGCTTCCAGTTCGGGAGCATACTACCGGGGGGGGGGGAGGGGGGGGCTCATATCACTCCCAGCAGTCGCTCGCACAAGTGCTTAGAAAAAAAAAGAAAAAAAAAAGAAGGTACAAGACTGCTCTGAGAACCTTCAGAATGTGTAGGTTACCTGAAAGGGTGATCAGACAGCACACAAGCAAATCATAGAGAAAGCTTCTGCATGCTCTCACGTACAAAGTACGAAAAGTATGGAAGTACAGGATGTGCGATGATTGCCTCAAGCCGGTGGGTATGGCACCCTACCTACTACTCCAACCCACTCCTAGTATGAACGCACACGCAGAGTGTACCTTCCTTTCCCCTTTGCCCCAAACAAGTTCATTGTTCATGTACATTTTTTTAACCAGTTCACTTGATGTCCGCTTTCAACGGCATTTAAATTAATTAAATAATAAACAATAATAAAGTTAAATAAACAGTACCACTAGTGCCTCGCCCAGTGTTGGGAAATTAGGGAAAACTGGCAGTTTTCACAAACTCCTGAAAATTCGGAGGCCGGGCCTAACGACGGCTGCCATTGATAAATCTGATCGGCGGCGGTCGTTTCGTTTCGGCCATCTGAAAAGGTCGGAGGCCCACCCGAGGCCCGCTATTTTCCCACTCGACAAAGGTACTAGTGCTGTCCACACCCTAGCAGTGACGCCGTTCAATTATCGACTTATCGAGGGTCTAAGCCCCTACAACACCCCC